CCCAACCTGTGCTCGCTGGCTGTGATGTTACAGAGTTGCTGCCCCGGTGCTGCATGCAGAGATCACTTGATCTGAACCCCGGAAGGACTTGGGGAGAGCGATTCGCTATCTGGGGCCCTGGGGCAAAAATTACTTAGATGATCGTTGACATTTAAGACCCACCCCCTGAATTGACTCTTTGGTTACCAGGATCTGCCTTGCGCTGGGTCTCTTTTGAGGGTCAATAATAGTCTTTATTGCCCAGGCAGAAATATCACCCTGGACATCTTGGGAGGAGGGCTGTGGCCGGTGGGTCTGCACTGAGCCGGACTCCGGCGCACAGAACCGCCGTGGCCCAAGCGTCGTGGCCTTTGGCTAAGGATCCATGAATTGTGCAGACAACAATGGCAGATTTTTCTCTCCCTTTGTCTCCAGGTGCTTGAGAGAGTCAGTTGGAGCCTTTGGGAGTCACCATGTCGTACCCCAATGCTCCCCCACCCTACGAGGACAAGAATCCCCTCTACCCCCCGCAGCCTGGGGGCCACCCACAGCCCGGATCCCTATCCTGGGGGCTACCCACAGCCTGCACCCTATCCTGGGGGCTACCCACAGCCTGCACCCTATCCTGGGGGCTACCCACAGCCCGGAGGGTATCCTGGGGGCTACCCCCAGCCAGGAGGATATCCCCACCCAGGTGTCCCGGTACCCCCCATGTCAACACTCCCGGTGAACCTAGGTAAGCTGAGCATTCACAACAGGGGGTGCGGTGCAGAAACCCACTGATGGCCCATCTGGCCCCGTCCCCAGAGACCAGCTTACAGCTTCTGAGATCAGAGCAAACCCACTGGGCCGTCAACGTGCTGAAAGAGACATGGGTCCACCCTGGTTCCAGTTGTTCTTAGTCCCGTTCTGCACAGAGGCAGGTCGCCCCAGGGACCGGGGCAGAGAGAGTAACGACGGGCTGGATTCTGCTCTCAGGGGACGGGGTCAGACGGGCCGTTGGGGTGGCAGTGCCCATGTGGGACCAGAGGAGTGAGGAGTGCAGGGCAGAGGAGACGGTGGGGTGAGGGGAAGGGGTCTCTGGAAGGGTAGGGCAACGGATACGGTGACTCGGGCTCTGCAGGACCTGGCATGAGTGGGGAGATGGGGGGATTTCCTTGACCCTCCTGGGACGGATGGGCTCCGATCCGTCACTCACCCAGATCTGATAGAGAGGAGATGTCCCAGTAAGAGGCAAAATATTCCAGTCTCCAGTCCCATCGTGTCAAAGCTGGGCTGAGCGTGGCTGGTCTGTTCCATCCTCCCCACCCGAGGGTCGGTCCCGTCGGGCAGTGCCCCGTTGTGATGGGGCACCCATGGCCTGGTGGTCCCACCCAGAGGAGGTGGAGTCTGATGGGGGAGGAGAGGACACCCTGAAACACACGACTGACGGGCCAAGCCCCGGGGCGGGGGGGGTGGAGAAAGGAGACGGCGCTGCTAGAGAGGCGGGACGGTTAGTTCCCTGCGTCTCGTGCCAGATGCACCCCCGGCATCACCCTACTGGGTACTGGGCCAGCGTCTCCTGTCTGGGCTCAGCCCTCTCGGCCATGCTGTCAGTGAGACCCAGCTGGGGCTGAGCGGCCGTTGGGCTGGGACGTCCCATGGGGCGGCCCCCTTCTAGCTCGTAGGGAGAGGCGGCCAGGAAGGGATCTGACACTTGGGCGGGGCAGACCCCGGACACGTGCCAGGTCAGCAGGGGCACGTGGAGAGCTGATGCCCCCCAGCCGTGCCAGCGTTCAGGCGCTGACTCTCCCCCTTTTCTGCCCCCCCTCCCCCCCAGGGGACAGCTACGGCAGTGGTGGCTCGGGGGAGGAGGACGGGCTGAGAACAAGCACCATGGACGACAGGAAAGTGCGACACACCTTCATCCGCAAGGTAACTCTGGAGGGATCCGGGCTGCCCTGCCCCAGGGGTGCAGGGTGGGGGAGCCAGGGGGATG